GGGCAGGAGAGGGCAGAGGAGGAGTCCCAGCTGCAAAGGAAAGATGGTGCCCTGGATCTGGAGAAGGTGGTGCCAGGTGACTTGGGATGTTCAGGCAGGCTGCCCCACCCCACCTCCTGTCATAGTTCTGTTGCACATGGGAATCACCTGGAGAGATCTAAGACCACTAGCACCTGGGTCCTGTCCCCGAAACTCTGGTGAGTTCAGACAGAGGTTGAGGAGGCTCCAGGGCATCCCCAGGTGATTCCCAGAGGCAGCCCAGCAGTCTTCAGGCAACGGGGTGGGGGCCCTGGCCAGTATCTTCCCACAGCCTCAGGGAAGAGCTTGTACCCAAGCCACTTTGCATTGAGCCACTCTCCCATTCCTCATCCATGGAAACTGGGCGACAAGAGAGATTTGTTTCAAGCTGCTAAGTTTTGGAATAATTTATTATGCAGCAGTGGAAGACGGATACAGCTTATGAGTTACCCTGAATACAATTCTTGCTACTCTATCATCCTCTCCTCATCTAGCTCCAGAATCTCTCTCTTGGACGACTTTCGTAGCCTTCCTGTCACTGCCTCCCTGCTCTCTCCATGCCCCTGTCCCCCATCAGTCCTCGAAGCCTGAGTTACCATTTCAAAACAGGCTCTGATCATGTACCCCCCTTTACTTGACAACCCATAGTGGCTCTTCATTGTACTTAAGATCAACACTAGAATCTACAATATGAATTGTGAGGTCTAATTGGTCTGCCCCTGTGGATGCTGATACATTCACCAGGGAAGCCATTTGATTAATGTCTCTCACCTTTACTAAAGATCCAGGACAATGAGTAAATAGTATTGCTCAACATTAGAGGCCTTAATACCACCTCACACAGTGCCAGCATCATGGAGCAGTGCATTCAATGGCGAGCTGCAGGCTTCAGAGCTGGGGCCTTTACAGGTGAAGCAGCACTGTGGCCTGCTCTGACATGCTGACCCGCCTCCCTGACAGATGGGACATGCACTAGGCTTAACGTGGACCACAAGTACTCATTTAAGCTGAGTGAGGACGTTCTTCCAATGGTCCTTTCACCCCCTCCACCCATTTCCTGAGGCCATTGCTCTCCACCTCTCCCTCTGCCTTCCCCTTCCTCCTCCAAACCCTCGCTCCTGGCTATGCCGCTGGAGCATGGGGAAAGCCTAGCTGTGTGTCCCCATGGCCAGTGTGTAGATGCATCCAGTCAGCTGGAAGAATGAGRCCATTGGGATGACTTCATTGGAGTGACAGCTCCCTGTCAACCTCCTCACCTACTGCCTGACTGAGCCGAGGGAGGTGTTGTGCAGATGCAGAGATGACCTGGTGTGCTCGCTTTGCTCAGCMGGGGCAGGGCTGTGCCCACAGCTCCTGGCTTTCCCCGATTCTTCTTGGCTCTTRTTTTCTTGCAAAATGTTGGCCTTTCCCTAGAGTTTGAAGTCTGAGCTCAAATGTTAACATTCTTGCCTTTGGATCTTCAATGGAAAACTGCTATAAGACATTAGCTCCATTAAACAAAGAGATTCCTGCAGTTCCAAAAGAACTAGTTTTTTGCAGTTTGACTCACTCTTCCATCATCATCGCACTGAGGGATTCTTATATCCAAATGGGGGTGTGGATTTCCCTTGTGGTGAAGATCAGTTAAATTATTTCTTTCCCATGCTTTGGTTATTTTAAAATGCCATTTATTGCCGATGTCCTCCATTTGTTTTCCCTAAAATGTCCATTAAAATAAATATTCAAGCTGAGGCRGACCCTCAGTGCTAAAATGTTGGGCAGTGAGTGGCTGATTGTGCTGACCATCTGTTCTGACCTGTTCCGGCTCACTGGGCCTCAGAACCCTCCACATCTGGCAGGGTCCAGAAGAGCCAGCCTGGGAGCGTGGGAAGAGCGCTGGACGGGGAGTCACCCCTCAGTTTCCTCAACTGTGAAATTAGGGGCGGGTTGAGACGGCCTCTAGAGTGCTTTTTGTGTATTTGTTTTGAGTCCCGATGGCCTGTAAAATATGCCACTCTACCATATCGACAACACAGCCGCTGCGCACCCACCAACGCACTCACACGGACACCCCAGGCCACCGACAGCCGGATGCCTGCCGACCGCCTGGATATGATTATTCTGACTTGTAAAGCAGCGTGTAGAGCTTGAGGATTCCCAAAGCCATTCTACAGGGTCTCCGCTGGGTCTTGAACCAACCTGTGAGTTACTTGCTACGGTGTCCCCATTTTTCAGCTGAAAAAACTGAGACTCAAGAGAAGCTCAATAGTTTCCTTCCCTGTGGGCACCAGGCTGGTGGAGCGCCTGGGCTTGACTGCGCCTGCGCATTGCCGCCTGCTGGGGCATGCGCATGCGTGCTGCAGGTTCAGTGGCTCCGCCACACCTTCAAGGTAGAAAATCGGTCTTGGAACCCCCACCTGCATCCGAAAAGGATCCAAGCAACAGAAATCAACTCTAATGACAAAGTTAACTTAAAAATAATAAGAATAATAAACTAGTTCCCAGTCTTCCATCAAAATAGAGGTAGAAACCGCAGATGGACAAGGTTCACTCTGACCGTGGCAGTTTCTTTTTACAAAACATTTATCACAAAGTACTTCAAGCATTCAGAAAAGCACAGAATAAAATAAGCACCCAGGGACTACTAGCTGGAATTAATAAATGTTCACATTTGGCTCCGTTTGCTTCGTAGATCTTGAAAGAAAGAGAATATGGCAGCTCCCACTGACATCCCCTTTGTACCCTCTCCTTGGCGGTGGCTTCCTGGTGACCAGTGACATTTAGGGCCAGGCTATTCAAAACACTTTCATATATGTATGAGAAGGATCTGCTGACTGTTGAAATAAGAAGAGCTTTTTTATTGTGGTAAAATATGCATAACATAAAATTTACCATTTTGAGCATTTGTAAGTGTACAGACCTCTCAAGTTCATTGACATTGTTATGCAATGATCATCATTATCCAGCTCCAGAACTTTTTCATCACCCCAAACTGAAATTTTGTAGCTGTTTAACACCAGCTCCCCTCTCCCTCCTGTCCCCCTCCCCCCCAGGTCGTTTGTGACTATTCCTCATGCTTCATATAATTAGAACCATACAATAGTTTCCTTTTTGTTTTTGCCTTTTTTCTAGGTTCATCCAAGTTGGAGCATGTAACAGGATTTAATTATTTTTTAAGACCGAACAATACTCCACTATATGTGTTTACTTCCATCCATCCATAAGCACTCCAGTTATTTCTACCTTTTGGCTACTGTGAATAATGCATGAAGAACATGTGTATACAAATACCTGTTCAAGTCCCTGCTATCTGTTTTAGGGCATATACCCAGAAATGGACCCTCTGTGTTTTCAACAGCTTTGTGTCACACTGTGACAAAAGACCTGACAAGAACAACTTAGAAGAGAAAAAGGTTATTTGGGCTCATGATTTCAGAGTTTCAACTCCATAGCTCTGGGCCAAGATGAGGCAGAACATCATAGGCTGAAGGATACAGAGGTGGAAGGCAGCTGAGAACATAGCAAGCAGAAAGTAAAGAGAGCCCTACTCATCAGGAATAAAATATCAACCCCAAAGACCTGCCCCTCAGGGGTCTGCTTCCTGTAGGCACCTTACCTACCTACCTACCTACCTACCTACAGTTACCACCCAATAATACATTCAAATTATTGATCTGTCAAGTGGATTCATCCACTGACGGGGTTGCAGCTCTCATGAGCTCATCGGTCCACCTCTGCACATGCCTGCATTGTCACACACAACTTCAAGTCGGTGCCTCATATTCAAACCATAACACTGTAGCGATTCTGTGTTTCTTTTCCGAGGAGCTGCCATCCTGTTTTCTGGAAAGCAGCGCCTCTGGACATTCCCAGTAGCAGGTCACAAGGTCCCACCCACTCCACATCCTCACAAACACTTTTGGTTTCTGTTTTTAATAATAGCATCCTAATGTGGGTGGACAAGAGTGCTTGTAAGGTTCACCTTCTCACAGAAGAAGAAACAGGGACCCAGGGAAGAGGTGGTGGGGGAGGAGGTCACACAGAGGGGCCAAGACCCTGAGAGAGTCAATGTCAGGGCAGGATCTGGAAGCTGGGCCCCTGACCCCCACCTGTTTTTTCTCCTAAAACAGCCCAGTTTCCTTTGCTAAGTGTCTAAGGGTGCACAGCCGTGGCTGCGGGCCAAACACAGACTCAGGTTTATTCAGTTTAATTCTTAAAATATTATTTTAAATGTGGTATTTTATATTGCAAATGCCTAGATTTCTGATTTCTCCCTCCCAAAAGAGTGTGATCCTGGGCTCGGGTTCTAGAATGGCAGCTGAGTAGCAACTGTGACCTTCAGAGGACGTGTGGCCCCTAGTCCCACCACTCCCTAAGGTCCTCCCGTGCTGGCTCTGTGGCTCTGCWGTTTGAGGCTTCTACTTTCCAAGCACATAGCTGTCCTCTATTCTGCCCTGTCTCTCTGAATGTCTTGACTATCTACCAGAAAAGTGAAGTCATTACAAATCGGGGGGCTCAGTGGTAAAGCACTTGCTTAGCATGCATGAGGCCCTGGTTCATCCTGGTTTCATCTGGCCCCTCTCTCTCTCTCTGTCTCTCTCTGTCTCTGTCTCTCTCTCTCTCTCTCTCTCTCTCTCACACACACACACACACACACACACAAATGCTAATATATAAAATATATAATGCAAAATGTAAACATGTAAACAAAGACACGACTGTGTATCCTGACTTGGAGATGGGGTGAGGTGGAGGGGGAGGCCGGCCAGGCCCTCTCCTAGCCTTATCTCCCAGGAATCCCCCGGGGGCAGCCTTAGCAGGCTGCGTCCCTGTCTGGCCTCCTCCTATCAATGTGTCAGTTGCAGGGTGGATATTCCTTCATGTCGTCAGTGGAGTGGAGAAAGTTGCTTTGCCCACTCAAGTCACTTCCTCAGAACAAGCCCCTGCCCTGGCCCTTGCAGAGGCCGCCAGCATATCCACCTCTGTTTTCTCTTTGCTGACAGGTGAGGAACGACCTGACCGGGGTTCTGTATGGTGAGGACATTGAGATTTCGGACACTGAGAGCTTCTCCAATGATCCCTGCACCAGCGTCAAAAAGCTTAAGGTAGGTGCGGCTGATCACGGCCTGAGTGACAGGCCAGTGGCCGTGCTCCTGGGGTTTCCCAAATCTTGAAGGAGCCTCAGGTTTGATCTGGGTCTCAAGTTCTTGCCAACTTAGCATCTCAGACCTGGGAGAAGCTCCCTGAAGCTGGTATCCCTGGGCTTCCCCCTTACTTGGTGTCCAGCACCAGCCAAGGATGCCCATTGCCAGGTTCATCACCCTGCAGAGCTTCGACAGTGATCTCCCCTATCAGCCTRGCCACAGGATGAGCAGGGTACAAGTTATTATCATCTCTGTTTTGAAATGGCTTAGAGCGAGGAACTCCAGCCTAAAGCCACCCCAAGGAAGTAGTATTCTCAGGACTGCAAGCCCAGACTCCTGACCCCCATCTTGTGACAGTCACTCTAGGAACAGAAAGGGTCAACTAGAAGTTTCGATGGTTATAAGTAAATGTCTAACTTTCATCTGTCCATCTGTTCCACAAACTCTCTCAAACACCTTTCATGTGCCAGACCCTCTCCCGGGCTCAAGGACACCATCAAACCTGTTCTTGAGCTCAGGTCGCTCACAGCATGGTGAGGAAGACAGGCAGCTCTCAAGGGAAACTGGAACAAAGGGACCTGGGAACACAGGCAGGAAGTGACTCATCCCACCTGGGGAGAGGGTTCAGAGAAGTTCCAAAGAAGGGACAATATTCCAGCCAGGCCACAGAATGTGCAGGATCCCCACCTGCAGGAGTAGATAGGGATAGGGGACACAGATCAGGGGACAGGTTGGTGTGCTCATATGCCTGGGAGCAGAGGGGACTCCAGCCTTCAGGGTCAGGGGAGAGGTTAAAGGAAGCAGGATAGAGTTTGCAGGCTGTCCCCAGGAGCCTTGACCACCAAGCTGAGAAGCTGGGTCTTTTCTCCTGAGCTCAGTGGAACGCTGTGAGGTTCACAGAGACGCAGGCAGAGCTGCCTGACCTTCGTACTCACATGTAAAGTCACTGGTTTGGAGATCTCAGAGTCCTGTTGCTGATGTGACCCTTCTGATTGGGGAAGTCCCAGGTGCACCAGACAGGGCAGACAGCGGTTTCAAGCCATTGCTTCCAAATCCCTTAGTTCATAGACGTACCAATTGTTCACCTCCTCCAGGGTGGACATAGAGCCTGAGGGTCACATGTCAGCCCTGGGAGCCTCTGCAGGTGGGGAAACAGCAGCCAGGGGAGGGCCCACAGCCAGCCAGTTGGATAGAGTGGGATCTGTCCAAAGTCTGCCCCCTGCATTGTCACAGGCTGGCTGTAGGGTGTGAGGGTCCAGTTGGCTGTGTGGGGCCTATGGGATGCAAGGCTGGGTGGTGATGGTGGCAGGAGGGGCCTGCGCTGTGCTGACATTCTCCTGCTACATGCAGGGCATCTCCCAGGGCAGCACTTGAAATAGCTCCCTGGCTGCAGAGGCCCAGCAGAGTTCTGAGGGCTTTCAAGTTTAAAGGGCCTTTGTGGATAGAGCAGAGGTACTAGTTGAAAGTCTGCAAGAAATTGGGGGTGGATCTGGGCGCTCTGCTCATCCACCAACCTGCTGCAAAAGAAAGAGGAGAGACGATAATGAGAGGAAAACGGCAGCTGAAATGGACGGCCTTTCCGTTTCTCAGAGCACCAAGGAGGGCCAGCCCCTTGCAGCACCCTTGACCTTCACTGCCTCTCCTAGGCCTCCCCAAACCCTCTGACAGAGGGAATCTTTGTAATCCATTTCACAGATGGAGACTTGAGGGTCAGAGTGGTTAAGGAACTACCTACCCCAAGACACCCCATGGGAAGCATTGGGCTAGAATTCAAACCAGGTCTGGGGATGCCACTGCCTGGCTGTCCCCACCCCCCTGGAGAATGATGGCTCTGAGAAAGGATTCCCACATTATATAAGTCCCAGGGCAGGGCGGGCACAGAATGCATGGAGGTCCCCTCTGTGGGGAGGGCTGTCCCCCAAGGCACAGGTATGGATCCTTGTATCTTCCCTGAGTCTGTTCATTTGTCCCCTCCTCCCAGAGGCCTCCTTTGACTCTTTATTTCAATTCTTAGCTGAGCATGATGGCTCACACCTATAATTCCAACAGCTTGGGAGGCTGAGACAGGAGGATTGTCAGGTTCAAAGCCAGCCTTAGCCATTTAGCAAGACCCTAAAGCAACGTAGCAAGACCCTGTCTCAAAATAAAAAGGGCTGGGGATGTGGCCCCATGATTAAGTGCCCCTAAATTCAATCCCTGTTACCCCCTAAAATAATAATTACATTAAATTAAAATCCCTATTCTTCAAGGATCCCATTTCCCCTTTCTGCTCATTTTCTCCATTTCATGGGTTGACATCTGTATTTGTTTCCTGGGCCTGTCCTAAGGAAGTGCCACAAACTAGGGGGCTTAAAGTAACACAAATTGATTCTCTCTCAGTTCTAGAGACCAGGGACAGGCAGGGCCATGCCCTCTCTGGGGCTCCTCCACACCTTTCTCTTAGCTTCTGTGTCCCTGGGTCCTTAGGTCATAAAGGTGTGACTCCAATAACTGCTTCTCATCGCCCCTCCCCATCTCTTCACCTTGTCCTTTTAGTAGGACACCTGTCGTGTTGGATTAAGAGCCCACCCCGTTCCAGTATGGCCTCACCTAACTCATCACATCTGCAGTCACCTTGTTTTCAAATAAGGTCACTTTCTGAGGTCCTGGGGTTAGTACTTCAACGGATCTTTTGGGGACACACAGTTCAACCTGCGACAACCTCTGACAGGCCGTCCATTCCGCCCCACTGCTTAGCTCCTGTCTCCTCCCATTAGAAGGGAAGCCCCAGGAAGCAGAAGTTTTTGTCTATATAGATCACTGTTTGATTTCCCATCCCCTGGAGCCAAACCCAATTTGCTCAACAATTTGTGGTGTGCGCTTGGATGAAATGCTAAGTCAGGATGGACAGAATACTCAGGAACAGAGAAAAGGCAGTCGGTTCTGGAAAGCTCCAAAGAAAAGCAAATCTCAGATCCATTGTGGGTAAGTTAGAGAAGGAGGTACAGAGGGCAAGGAAGAAAGGAGGTATCAGATAGCAGAACAGGAGTCTGCATCGGAGGCCGTAGAGAGCGGAGCGAATGCCAGGAAAAATCAAAATCAATAATGTGGAGGACGAACTCGAGATGCCTTCCCCACGTTCAGAGGAAATGGCCAAAGAGATCAATCCAATGAGAGAAAAGATACAGTTATGGATACTGGAGAAGGGAGATCCTAAGGGGGAACCAGGACATGCAGAACAGAACCAAGATCAAAAACAAAATAGGCAGCCCAGGAGCAGCAAGCACACCCGGCCTCCAGAGTTTAATTTCTAATCCCCGGTAAGAAGAACCAGGGCTACTTAGAGAAATGACTGACCCTGTGGGGCAGGATGGCTGCAAGATGATGCTGGAGCATCTCCTGGCATCAGGAAGTGGGGCAGGGCTCAAAACAGCAATGCGCCCCAGTGGGCTACATCAAGGGATCACAAGGGCCAACTAAGGTGCTTCCAAAGGCCAAGGCTGGGACACCTGATCAATGAAGGAGGGAAGGATTGGAATATAACCCAAAGTATAAACCAAATATCCACGAGCCCATACTTGTATAATTGACAAATAACTGGAAGAGAATAGAAAAATGTCTGCAGTAGAATTCCAAGAGACTTAAAAGAGTCCTCATGCTCCAAGGAATCAGGCTATAACTACCCACTTCTTGCTACTTCCTTCCAAAGAGCACAGTATAAAAAGGAGAATCTACTGCAGAGGAACCTGACTCACACTATCTCAGACCTCAAGGTCAACATCAACAATGATATGGCATGTCAGCAGCACCCTTGATGTGACAGGATGACAATAGCACACTCTACCCTTCCTCTCCCAAGGCCACGGCTGCAGTCCAGCATGAGAAAAGCACCAGCAGATTCTAGTGGAAAGCTAGTCTACAAAACACCTGGCCAGCTCTCCTCTATGCTGTCTAAGTTGTCAAAAAGTCGGGGCTGTCAGAGCCAAAAGGAGGCTAAGGAGGCACATCAACTAATATCTACAGTATCTCAGATGGATCCAGGACCAGCAAAAGACATGAGAGGGAAAAAAAAAAAAAAAAACTAAGGAAATTTGATTAAAAGATGGGCTTGAGCTAATAACAATGCATGAATGCTGGTTCATTCATTGTAACATGGGTACCATGTTACATGAGATGGCTAAGAGTAGGGAAAACTGGATGAGCCATTTTTCTATAAATGGAAGCGTATCCTCAAAGAAGAAATTTTTTATAGGAAACAAACTTAAGGGGGCTGAAGACAGACCTGTTAGGTGGGATCATATGAATATTTGACCATTTAAAAACTACCCAGTCAACAATTTTATATAGAAAAGCGAAGGCCATGTGAACAAACTAGCTGACCTCTCTCTGCATTCTAGCAGAATTGGTGACAAAACGAGACATATTTATACACATTTTGGCAAATGTTTTGATATATAAATTGTAAGGGGAAATCCTACAGATATCTAGCCCAGAAAAAAAAAAAAAAAAAGGCTTTCCAGAAAAGATGCAAAAACCAGCGATGCCCCAGATTGAAGGCTGTTCTCGAGGTTAAGCCCAAGGCCCATGTCAGCCGGCTGAGAACAATGGCACATTTCATAGCCAGGGTCACGAAAGGAATGGCCAAGCAGGGACCACGGAGCTGTGGAAAAAGAACTGTCTACATATCTGTTACAAAAGTGCATACAGATGCAAAAGGTACCTATAATTTTTAGAGATGAATCCAAAATTGAGAGTGTAATAACAATAACTGAGATAAAAAATTCCAAATTATATTACAGAACCTAACAAGTAGGTAAATAAAAAAAAGACGGGTGCTCGACTCCTGGTCTAAACCAGGAGAGGGACCCCCAAAGAGACCATTTGTTCATGAGCTTCCTAATTAGAGAAGGAGCTGGGGCGCAGCTAACTAACGCATGGCCCTGGGTTCCATCCCCACCCAGCTCAGCAAAAATTTAAACTAA